CACACTGGAACAGCCGTACTGTGCTGGGGACATGAGCTGCCACATGCTGGTGTCCCCTTAGTCATTCACAACTTGGTGCCAGTGGCTGCTCCAGCCACGCTGGGTGATGTTTTCGCTCCATGGCTCTGCTCAGCCCGGGGATGCCCGACCTGTTGTTGACTCTGTCCCCTCCTGCAGCAGGGATGTACAGAGAGAAGGATGAGCCCTTCTGCCCGGCTTTCCCAGGAGCCCCGGGTACCCCACTGGCAGGGTGGGTGGATGGGGGACGGGCTGTGCAAAACCACAGCCCCTCCGCCATCGCCATCGCTCCGCCGGGCCGGTGGCAGGGAAGGAAGAGGGGCCGGGACAATGGGCTGGGCTCTGACTCAAACAGCCAGTTTCTGGTGGCTTCCTCCCCCCACCCCCCGGAGGGGAAGGGCCAGGTCAGGCGTGGCTCCTGGCACCCTGGCACCGGGGAGGTAAGGCAGGAGCACGGGCAGGGCAGACAGTGGGGCAGCCTCCCAGGGCAGCGGGGGGGTTTGCAGGTGCCTCCCTGGGCAGGGCGAGACCTCGGGTTGGTGTGAGCTGTGGGGCACAGGGACATGGAGGCTGTCATCCCTGGAGGGCAGGCAGTAGCCACTAAGTCAGTGCTGCCTGATGCCAGTGCAGGTCTCGTCCCACCCTTCCCAGCCTATCCTCTACTTTGGTGTTTTGCTTCCCTTTGAAATCCTTGCTGCTGTTCCCCAGCCCGTTCGGGTTCTATGTCAAAGAGAGAGAGAAGTGTGGAGATCCCCTGCCTGAGCATCCCACTGACTGCTTCTCAGGCTGGGGCTGAGCCCCTCTGGGACACATCCTGCCTGGTCCCATGGTGCTGTACCCTCCTGGTGGCTTCCGCTTGCTGGGGACCGCAGGAGTGTGGGTCAGCCCATGTCACCCTCAGCCACGTCCCTTGCTGCTCTTGCTGTCCTCGCCATTGCTCCCGCTGCGGCTGATTTCACATCTCAGGCCCCTTTGTCCCAGGGCCTGGCCACGTTCCCCTCTCAGGCGACTTCCTCACATTGTCCCAGCTCTGCAGAGTATAAAACCAGCCGGGCACGGGGGAAGCGGCGCTTTCCTGGAAGCACGCTGCCCGGAGAGGGGCTGCAGCCTCTGTGGCACAGGCAGCCCTTGTGCCTGGGAGAGCTGTGAGCGCTGCCATGGGCACCCAGGTGCTGCCCAACTGTCCCAGCAAGGCTGGGGACATCAGCTGGCCTCAGCTGCCCTGTCCCTGGGGGTGCCCTCGGCTGTGATGTGCACTGGTTCTGTGCTGGGGTGCTGAGGATCAGTGGGGCTGGCAGGGTGCCGTGCTGGGTTTCCTGAGGCTCTTGGGAAAGGGACGTGCCTGGTTTTTGGACTGGGAAGCGGGTGAGAGTGAGGGTTGTGATAACAGGAGGAAGCTGGGCAGCTGGGTGGCCATGGCGGGGCTGTGAGGGCTGGTTCTGCCACTGGTGGCTGCCGGCTGGGACTGGGCTCTGCCCAGGCTCAGGGATGGCCAAGGCAGTGGTGGGGAGAGCACCCATGGCAAGGCCTGGGGCAGCACCAGGGCTGCTGCTCCGTCCTTGGGAATGCAGGAATGGCCCTTGGCCCTTGGCAGGCAGCTTGAGTTCATCTCAGCCGGCTGCGGTACCAGGCCAGGTCCTGCTGGGAGTGCAGCCATGGGCAGTTCCTATCCCCGCAGCACAGCCGGATGGCACGACGGGCTCCTCCTGTGCCAGGCTGGCTGAAGCCTGAACAGCTTCCACCCCCCTGGTCTCAGCCTCCCGTGGGTCACACACTGTAGGAGTGGCCCTGTCTCGCTGAAGGCTTGGATGTGTGCCCTCAAAACCTGTAAAGGAGGGACAGTGTCCCAGGAAAGGTCTGGATTTGGGCAGGGCATGGTTCATCCACCATCCTAATAGGCTCATTTTGGCCATGCCAGCCCACATGCAGAGAGCTGGGCAGCTCTGCCTGGCAAGCAACACTCCCTCGTGGCACTGGGCTCGTGGATGTTTGGTGAGGTGTCAGTTTGGGATGTTGCTCGGACCCTGGTGAGCACCCACCCTGGTGCTGCCGTGTGCGGATGCTGCTCTGCATCCCAGCGGGGCAGCTGGACCGGCAGGTCTGAGTCTGGCAGGGGGTGAGCTGGGGACAGGAGGTGCTCTCGGTGGCCACTGCCAGCTCCCACTGTTTGCTCTTTTCTCTTCCTCCCGGCTGGCCGCGGAGCAGCGCGCGCCTTGCCTCCCAACCACAGGGAATGTCGTCAGGCCGCACGCGCCGGGCGCCAGCGGCCGCGGG